CCAGATAATAAATAACAAAATCCAACAAGTGATTTTTTACTATTTTCTATATTATTAATTTTTCTATTTGATGAAAGGAAAATATCAACTAATTCATCAAAAAAAACCTTTTAAATGTGGTTCATCTTCTTTAATTATATTTTGAAATTTTTTAGGAACTAATTCAATTTCTAAATATAATAGTATTTGTCTTTTATATAAGCATTTTGATAATAATTTGATTTTTTCTTTTAATTGATTTAAATTATTTTTCATATTCATTTATATCTTTTTGCATCTTTTTATTTTATTTATTAAAAGATTAAAATTATTTTTAGAAAAATATATACATATTGTTATTATTATATTTAATATTTATATCAGACCAATAATTAAAACTTAATTTATTATTATTATTTAATTTAAAAAATAAGATAATTTATATTCTGTATAATCATCATCATTTCTAATATTTATTTCATTAAATTCCTTTGATTTTCTTTTTTTATTCTTATTTCTTTCTGCTTTTATAATAGTTAAATAATGTGAAAAACATAACTAATCATTAATTTGAAGATAACTATAATTTTGATATGTATTAGTTTTTATAGCTTTTGCTTTACTAAATTGAATAAATTTTCTAAATTTATATTTTTTTGGATAATTCTTATCACAATCTTTAACTTTACATAGACTATTATTAATATTCATTTTACTAATATTTATTATAATAATATAAATTATTTGATATATATTTTATTTTAATTAAAAATTTTAATTTTAAATAATTTTTTTTAATAGCTAAAACAGTATTACAACCAAAAAATTAGCCTATTTTTTTTGGTAAATTTTATGACGATTAATTTGTACCAATCAAAATTAAACTAAATGTGATATTTCAAAAATGATTATCACAAATTTCAACTAATAAAATCACTCGAAAGTTAAATATCTATTATGCTCTCTATGTTACTTTCATTTTACGTATATTTATTTTCATATTATGTTAATAAAAGGTCAGACTAGACTGATAAAAGCTGAGTAATAAATAGCAAAATTTTTTGTGTGTTTATATAAGTATTTTTATTTAAGACTCTAAAGAAATTTTTGTTCTTTATGTTACCAGAAGACGTCCTTCGTAAAGTTTAACATGTCAATTATTAGAAGAGACCTGAGAATCTGTAGAATATAGATTTATAAGATCTCTTCTATTCCAAAGCATATCCTGAAATATCGAAGAGGAAGTTGCATAATGTTTTAGGTGGAGAGCTAGGCATTTTAATAAAAAGCCTAAAACTGAAAAAAAGTGAATACCAAAAAGCTTTGGTATTAAAGCATCAACTAAAGGTTAGTACTTTTATGCGTTCTTGAAAATGTCCAGACTTGTGAGTGTTTGTAGGAAAAAAAAGAAAAATATATCAAAAAAATAAGAGAAATAATAAAAATAAAACAAGACTCACATCCGCTATATGCATATCTTGCTATGAAGTTCTTTGATTAAGGTCTGCTGATTCTGAAGGAGGAATTGGCTATATATCCTTATGTTAAAAATCTTTACTCACATATCACTCTATATATTACAGAAAAGCAAGAACAAAGAAAATATATGGAAGTATTTTCAGTAAAATCACATTATAGATCATATGATTTATTATACTCATGACTTGATTTTATTAGAAATATTCCCATATCACCTTTTGGTAAATTCTTATTATTTTGTTCTTCTTTGTCATATTTGTCACATACTTCTAAATCTTACGCTGCTTCTTATCATCAAACCTGTTATTTGCGTTATCTAGTGTTTTGCAAAAAATCTGATTCAATCTGAATCTGATCTGGATTTGATAGATCAGATCGAATCAAATTTATCAGATTCAAATCAGATCGGATCATGATTTTGATTTAATTCAATCCATCAGATCTGGATCAAATTTGAATTTAGATTTGATTCAATCTGACGGATTCAGATCTGATTTGTTAGATTTGAAATAAAAAATGCTGCCCAAAAGTCAGACACAGCATTTATTATTAAAAAAATTTAATTTTTAATAATAAAATGCCGCCCAAAAGTCGGACACAGTATTTATTATTAAAAAATTAATTTTTATTAATTTTTAATAACAAAATGCTATCCTGAAAGTCAGAGGCGACATTTATTAATAAAAAATTAATTTTTATTAATTTTTAATAACATAATGCCATCCCGAAAGTCAGAGGTAGAATTTATTATTAAAAAATTAATGTTTAATAATAAAATGCTGTTCTGAAAGTCAAATGCAGCATTTATTAATAAAAAAATTAATTTTTAATAATTTTTAATATTAATTAATTTTTATTAGTTTTTTATATTAAAATGCCATCCCAAAAGTCAGACGTGGCATTTATTATTAAATAAATTAATGTTTAATAATAAAATTCTGTCCCAAAAGTCAGATGCGGCATTTATTAATAAAAAAAATTAATTTTTATTAATTTTTTATATTAAAATGCCATCCTGAAAGTCGGACGTGGCATTTATTATTAAATAAATTAATGTTTAATAATAAAATTCTGTACCAAAAGTCAGATGCGACATTTATTAATAAAAAAAATAAATTTTTATTAATTTTTTATATTAAAATGCCATCCTGAAAGTCAGACGTGGCATTTATTATTAAATAAATTAAATTTTAATAATAAAATGCCGCCTAAAAGTTAGACGTGACATTTATTAATAAAAAATTAATAAAAATTAATTTTTATATAAAAATGCTATCCCAAAAGTCAGACGTGACATTTATTATTAATAAATTAATGTTTAGTAATAAAACTCCATCCTGCAAGTCAGATGCAGCATTTATTAATAAAAAAAATAATTTTTATTAATTTTTATATAAAAATGCCACCCTGAAAGTCAGACACAGCATTTATTATTAAATAAATTAATTTTTAATAATAAAATACCAATCTGAATGTCAAAATCAGATTTTTGTTAAAAAAAACAAAATTGTTATTTTTTAACATTAAAATGTCGTTCCAAACTTCAAAGGCGGATTTTTGTTAAAAAAACAACAAAATTGTTGTTTTTTTAACATTAAAACGTCATTCTGAACGGCAAAGGCAGATTTTTATTAAAAAAACAACAAAATTGTTGTTTTTTTAACATTAAAATGCCATTCTAAACGGCAGAGGCAGATTTTTGTTAAAAAAACAACAAAATTGTTATTTTTTTAACATTAAAATGCCATTCTGAACGGCAGAGGCAGATTTTTGTTAAAAAAATTTCTTGATCTGTCGGATACAGATACAGATTCAGATTTCTCAGATTCAGATTTGTCAGATTCAGATTCAGATTCAGATTTATTGGATTCGGATTTTCAGATTTAGATCGAATTGGATTTTGCCTAAATCTGATCTGATCCGATCTGTGCAGAATACTAGTATTATCATAGAACAATCTGTTTTCACCGGTAAAACAGTTGTAATAAATTTATCAACTTTTTATATTTGTTTCATTATTATTTCATTTCTTGTGTCTCACCAACAATTAGAACTCAGGAAAAATGAAAACTTTCAGAATGTACAGAATTTGTTTTTGCATTACTTAACTAATATTTTGTTTGATCAGTGATGAAGATGTGAAAGACCGGCAGCACATTACGAGAAACTGACTGGTTTTTTTACTATTTTTTAGACCTATTAAATCAGAAACAACAAGAACAGTTATCACTGCTTGAAAACATTGATTGATATTCTTTCATAATGTTATATGAAATACAGGCATCTGGAAAATCTACGTGTATGATGAGAACAATATCAGCATTGAAAAAGATACATTTAGTATTCTACATTTTAATTTTAGAGATTCAAATACTTCACTCTTTAATATCACGGACTTGATCCAAAATCCAAATTTTATCCTGAATCAAGTATAATTGCTATTTAAAGAGTTTGGAGATGATAATATGATGAAATTTGAACAGGAAGTCATTGAGAATGTTTTTGTACAGACAAATAGGTATGTGAGAATGGTCAGATTATAATATAATATAACTAGGAAACAAGATTTGTTCAAAGTTCGAAGCATGGTATATAAATTATAATATTATATTTTACATGATTAATTATTTTGTAACACAAAAGACATAACACGTAATAACGTAAACAAAAATATCATTGGTTTATTAGGCTTGCTGAATTTGGATGAACATAATGACCTTTCATTTAAATGACCTAGAAGTAGAATATCCTCCGCTATGCTTCAGATAATAACTTTTACCAACCAATAATTTTTACTTTGACCTGATTTACTGATAGGCATGCAGGCCTTATTAGCGTTTGTGGGTATGCAATTCAAGAAAATCTGATTAGAATTCTAGATAATAAACGAATCATAAGTTATGAAATTTGGAAACGCTACAAAGTTAGATCATAAATGGATGCGATAATATCATACCAAACATTTTGAAATATGGTCCAATCTCTTCAGAATTAAAAAATTAGAAATGCAATGACTTTTTTTCAGAATTACTTTCTAGTAAATTTTGGACATGAAATAAAGTTACGCTGACCTCAATAATGCAGAATTCCTTGCTGTCGAAGGGTTCTAATACCTGGAGAAGAATCAGAACATTCAAACTTTCTTCTCCTTTGGTGCGCTGGTTGATCTTTCAGTGTGTAATCCCTATTGAATTTTCATTTCATCCAAGAAAAGATATTCCTTACTTTAAAAATTCTTACGATTTAGATATTTTTCGTGCCTTAGAGCAGTGATGTGCATTTTGTGCTTCCAATTACATAAAATTTGATTAGAAACTTCCAATCCAAGCAATTCTATTAGTAAATTATGCTTCTAATTCTTCCAAAAGTACTTCCAATCTTCCAAGTGCACATCACTGCCTTAGAATATGCTGTTCAATCATTTGATAAAGTCTATTCATATTTGTATTTTGAAATATTAAAATCACATATTATATGCACAATATATATTTATAAGTATATTAAAAGCAAAATAATAATAACTGATATAACTGCACATGTATAGTCATGTCAGAAAATAACTCTCAATCAATATTTTATAATAAAACATACAAATTTTAAATTTAAGGCTATATAAATATTCTTTATATTTATTGAATTTTTATATCTAATCATTTAAAAGAATATTACATCATTTTTTTATAAATATTTTTAATATAATATCATTTTCAGAATTTACTTTTGCATTTGCAAAATTTCAAAATGCCTTGTCAACCAACATGTTTTTTTGTGTTTTGAAGTCATCCCAACTCAAAGGTTAAATTTTTTTCTATTATGACTAGGTAAAATACAAATATCTCCTTTATTGTAGACGAAAGTAATTCTAGTATTTGTTGATACTATGAATCTTTGAATAATAAGCAACTAAAGTATCAGGCTATTATTTAGGTGGGTATTATTTGAATTGGTCACTTGTCTGTTATTAACTTTGTGGGGTTTAGGAAAGCACAGTAAAGCATTATTATGTTCTAGGTCTTGATGATATTTCTTGGTGGTGTCTCTTAGTAGGATTATTCTTTTGAGACTGTGGTACAGTAAAAATATTGTTAAAGCATTATCATATCCTAAGTCTTAGTAATATCTCTTAGTGGGATTATCCTCTTAAGACTGTATAAACCTATGTATCCAATTTTTCTGAAACTCAAGAGTAAGCTTTAGCAAAATAATACTGTTCAGATGGCATTTATTTGAATGTCAGACTGATTCTTCTCACCTTCTCTTTTCTTTTTTATTTTTTATTATCACTTAGATCACTTAGAATGTTTAGAAAAAATTCTTTGATGACATTTGAATCGGTCACTTGTCTGTTATTAACTTTGTGGAGTCTAGAGAAGCATAGTAAAGCATTATCATATTCAAGGTCTTGATAATGTTTCTTGGTGGTGTCTCTTAGTAGAATTATCCTTTTGAGACTATGATACAGTAAAAATATTATCAAAGCATTGTCATGTCCTAAGTCTTGGTAATGTCTCTTGGTGGGATTTTCCTCTTGAAATTGTGTAAAGCTATGTGTCTAATTTATCTGAAGCTCAAGAGTAAGCTTTAGCAGAATAATACTATTCAGATGTCATCTGTTTGGATGTCAGACTCTTTTTCAATCAAATCTGATCTGATCTTCTTTTTTCTTTTTTCTTTTTTATTATCACTTAAAATGTTTCAAAGAAAATTCTTTGATAACACTTAAATTGATCACTTGTCTGTTATTAACTTTGTGGAGTCTAAGAAAATACAGTAAAAACATTATCATGTTCTAGTTCTTGGTGGTATTTCTTGGTAGTGTCTCTTGATGGAATTATCCTCTTAAAACTGTGATATAGTAAAAACATTGTTAATGTATTGTCATATTCTAGTCTTGGTAATGTCTCTTAGTGGGATTTTCCTCTTGAGATTGTGTAAAGCTATATGCTTAATTTCTCTAAAGCTCAAGAGTAAGCTTTAGCAGAATAATACTGTTCAGATGGCATCTGTTGGATGTCAGACTCTATTTTGATCAAATCTGATCTAATTCTCTTTATCTTCTCTTTTTTTTTAATATTTAATTATCATTTAGAACATTGAATTCAAATCTTACATTCAGAAATATTTTAAAGTTCAATAAATTTTCAGAGTTCAATCCAACTTGCTATTTCTTGATTTTTAAAACCTGTTTGCATTTTTTTTAATACATTTCTTTGATAAAATGTTTTTAATCATAATATTTTTTTATTTTAGTTAGATGGTTTTTAATAGTTGTCTAAAATAGCTTACAATCGCATCAATCTTGATTCTCTAGTTAACATCACTTACAAAAAATGTAAGTTGAATCAACTTATGAAAAAGGAATTATTAATTCTTATATTTTAAAATAAAGCCTTCCAAAAAAATTAGACCTTGATCAGTCCCTATTTTCAGCACAAATTGATAAATATATAGATTTTTTTATTTTGTGAAAAAGCATTCTGTTCGTTTAAAGAAAATCAAATTTTTTTTTGAGGTTTCGCGTGAATAGAACCTTTTGTCAAATTTTTATTTTGATTCTTAGGATTAATTCTTTTAAATTCTTAAACTTTTAGTTTGATGAATACAGATTATGATAAATTAATTTAAAATATTTGACACATTAATTCAATGTCTTGAACCATCTAATAAAAATGGTTAGATAACATTAAGTAATTATCAATTGGATTATTTAATAATAACATTATGGACTTGACAATGATTCCTGTCAAAGAACTTGTTTTAAAACTCCAAATTCTTAACATTAAATTTGATAAACCAAATTTTCTAGAAATTTAATTAATTTTATTTAATCTCAGGATTACTTAAAATCTTTATTATTATTATATGATTTTTGGAAAGAAGAATTTGAACCCTTTTTTAAGTGCTTTACGAAAACATTCAGATCTTTTAAATTAGAATGCTCAATTTTATTCACCTTAAAATTATTATTTATAAGTTCATTTCTCCTGATGGTAACATCTAAATTATGATGGTTATATCTCTCATAATATCTCATTATACTCTTTAAAACTATTATTTTATCAGCGAAAAAATTTGAAATCACTTAAAATTGATGTTTTTATTATCTTTATATTAAAGAAATTCAAGGGTTATATTTTTCGAATTTAACTCACTTTTATTTAGTTCTGTACCTTAATGAATATTAAGAAATTTGCATCATTTGAATTAAATACTACTTTAATTCGTAATAATTTTTTAGATCGTATTAATCTTTTAAATTTTTCTCTAAAGCACTCTCAAAATTTTTTAATGTCTGATAAATCCTTGAAGATCGATCTTAATGAATCTAAATTTAATTTTGAATGTCTAAAGTTATATCATTTGAAATGATACTAGATATTTCATTAAAAGTTTTATCGATTATGCAAAAAGAAAAGAGAGTTTTAAAGAATTCAGTATCACTAGAAAATTTAAATTCTCAAAGAAGTGTATTAAACAGGTATAGAGTTATTTTAAAATAACAGTACACTTGGATAATGGAATTCGTAATAGTAAGTAGTTTTGATTTTACTTACAATTTGATTTTATCCCAATATTAAAAAAATATTTATTATTTTTATTACATTTTTTTTGTTATAAATATGCTAATTAAAAATCCCTACTAAAGCAATAGAAGATAACCTGCGAGAAATATTTAACAAATTTTTAATTAATCAGAACTTTTATATATATTTTTCATTTTTTTTATAATGCAATATAATCAATTAAGTATTTATAAACTTTTTTTAATTGTTATTTGTTTTTATATATATATATAAGTTAAACCATTATTAATAAAATTAACAATTTATGTCTTTTTTTTTATCATACATGTCATGTACAGTATATACTTAAGGTCTTTTGTTTGATCTATTTAATGGATAAAAAGAAGTTTTTACATTCTAATTTGATTAATATTTAAAAGGGTAATAGCAATTCTTTTTGAGTTGTACTTTTTATCTATGTTATTTATATATAACATTATTTCAAGTTTGTGTATATTGAGGATTTTTTAAATTTTTATAAAATTTTAAAATTTTAAAGAAAAATTCATTAGACGATTTAGAAAAGATAACAAAGGCTCAGTTTATTGAGTAGAAGAAGAAATATGGTAGTAGCAAGGATTTGAAAAGTATAACATATATGAGGAAGATAAGAAGAAATTTATAGGTGAAATTTCAGATTTATTTCGTCTGCTGATGAGATCATCATTTTCCATTATATATTACTTATGAAGAGTTTTTTGAAATGCTTCAGAGGACCTTTTGGAATTGACATTAACTCTCAAACATTATCCCTCAAAATAAAACTAGAAAAAGATGCAGATGAAGATAATGAGGAGGAGATGTCTTACTTTAGGACTTCTATTACAAATGTGTTAAAGCTACATATGCTACTTTTGTTGCTTTTCGGTTTAGTTATCATATCAGAAATAGTCTAAGATTGTAAACTAGTCTACTTAAAAATATTTATTATTAAAGTATGTAATTATAAATTAACTATACGTATATCAATTTTAACATTTATGAATTTTTTAAAAAATAATCTAAAATCAATGAAGAAGAGAAGAATACTATACCAAGTATTCAGTTAAAATCATGATAAGATTTATGGTTTATTTGAATGACAAAGACGTGAAAGACTTTAATACATTGGGTTGGTAAATTTAGAATTTTTTTAGTTTTGGGTAGGTTCTAATATTACTTTTTTTTCATGGAACTATATTAATATTTATTACATGCAACAAAAAAATGAAAACACTTGCTAAGCTATGCATTTATAATTTGTACATTAAAGAATATCAGGATTATACATGAATTCAAAATGGATCATTTCAGATATCCGAAATGGTCAAAATGGTCAAAATTATTTCGACCATTAAAAGCTAAAGTCGCGAAATAGTCGAAATGATATCATATCACATGATTTTTCATATTGAGAAAAAACAAAAAACAATAAAATGTACAATCTCTGTCAATATCGCACTGATTCATATGAAATAACTACCATTCAATTCCTGCGATTAAACAGATCCAAAGAGCTAACATTCATTGATTTTGGATCATCCAATCTCGGGATAATCGCAATTGTATTATCGGCCGAAATTATAAATCAATAAATTCTACTTTAAATAAAGAAGTCCAGATTTCGAAATACGATAGCAAATATCTCAAGACGGGCTAATCCTAAATCAATGATTGTTAGCTCATTGGATTCGACTAGTCACAAGGAATCGAATGGTAGTTGTTTCATACGAATCGG